TAACTTGCTTTGATCTAAAAAGTCTCAATTTCTCTCACACTTGTTAATGCAGTATTAGTTTTATTTCAGGAAATACAATTATACCAGTGCCAGTTTAAGAGACCTGTTTTATAGTGACATAAGGCCAACTACAACAAAAACTCATAATTATTTTTATTACAAGGGCAAATCATTTTTAATACAAAGAAAAGAAAGAACTTCACAGAAGTATGTAAGGCAAGTGAACCCAGAAATAACATTACTCAGAGCAACCATAAATTTAAATTATCCCTTGGGCCTTTAACAATTTAATTGCTAAGGCTTTTTGTGAATTCTAATTAATGCTCTAAATTAATCACTATGTATCAGAATGATCTACCAGAAGACTATAAACCTCAATAATTACAAGAGGCTTTAAATTTACCCTGTGTAACTTCTTTATTCAGTATTCCACAAATAAAGCAGTTCTTAGATTGCCCTTAAGATTTATATTCAATAAATTGAGTGCCTATTATATGCCAGGCACTGTGCTGGGTCCTGAGAATGAAGTGGTGACAGAATTCTTTGGCTATGAAGTGATATCAGCCTGTTGAATAATGGAATACTTGGTTAGAGGAGCATACACCAATATCCCAAGAATCAAAGCTGTCTAACTTCAGTGATTCAAAAGAGCAAATGGTTAATATAAGACATTTGCATTGTTTTCCTTGAGCACAGTTGCACCAGATGAGAGTATTCGATGCTTTCTATGTAAACTTTAGTTTTAGGCAGATGGATAAGACTGACTCACGTCCTTCTAACAGAACACAAACATTCAGCCAAAAGTAGTTTATTATAAATACTGCTAACTGAAGTGAAGCTATTCACCACTGGCTTCATTGCATGGAAAATGGAAAGGTTCAAAAACTCTTCTTTTCTACAGATGGGACCAATTTTTAAAGGCTCCAACTCTACCAGCTTTACTAAGGAAGATCTTCAGCAGAGCACGGTCCATTTCTGCAGAGTGAAGTTTGCTGCTACAGTCTGATGGTGTATGCAAAACCTGAAGAAGAATTCTTCTAAATCCTGAGCATCATATTTGGTGTCTTAGAAAACAGTGAGGTTATTATTAGTTTCCTACTTCTGTAAGCATTTTGAAGGTTGTTGTATTTTTCTTTATACATAATACTGGTAATGATATAGAATTTTCTGTTTCTTAATTCACATATGGACATCTGGTTTTCGTTCCTGTTGTTTTCCACTTGTATTTACACATTTCTGCTCTGTGATTTTCATTTCCTTTTGAAATGAATTGTATAAATTGTTTGACACATTGGTTAAATATGGATTCCCATAGAAATCTTTATTCCCTCCTTCAAATTATAAGTTAATACCAACCCAGTATATTTTAAAAACAAATCAAACTTTAAAGTCTTTGCCTTAAGTGGTAAAGCCAATCAGGGCAATGAATCTATAGGAATGCAGTGTGTGGATTTCAAATTCTCAAAAAGATTTTTTACTTTTTTTTTTTTTTTTGCTGACTTAAGGTAAGTAAATTCACTAAAAAATAATCTTGGATGGGAAAAGAAAAGATTTTCATTTCTTGCTCAGAGGAAATCTTTTGTTTTCCAGATTTAACAAAAAGCCAGAATGTTTCCTATTATAATTCCTATTCAAACTATCTCTGTGGATCCTTACCTGTGTGTTTGGGATGATCAACTACTGAGTGTCCCAAAAGCCCATGTGTTAAAGCTTGGTGGTGCTATAGGAAGGGAGGGAGATGGTGAAATCTCTGAGAGTTGTGGCCTAGTGGGAGGTCCTTAGGATATTGGAGCTGTGCCCTTGAAGGGCATTGTTGGACACCTGGCCCCTTCTTGTTCTTTTTTCCTGTCTGGAGAGGAAGTGAATGTTTTTTCCCTGTCCAGTGCTCCCCAAACTGCCTCTCTACAGGTGTGAAGTAGCAAGGCCAAAACGAGACTTCACCTTTCAAAACTGTGAGCCATAATAAACCTTTCTTCTTTATAAGTGAATTACTTCAGGTATTTGATTACACTGACAGAAAACTAACAGGGTAATATACCTTGAGTCTAAGGTTTTTCCAAATTTGGCAAATGCCTTCAGGATAAGAGCAACTTTTCTACATTAATTCCTGCCCACAATTATATTTTGAGCTACAGAATTGTTATCCTACTTACACTTCCGTACTTTTGAATACTTATTCCATTTTATATCTTCTTTTTAGGTCATTTCAGGGGAAGGGACAGCCATAAAATCAGGTTACTGAAAATGGAATCACCATGAACTGTTGATTCTTTCCTGCTGTTGATCTGACACTGGGGCAGATGCTAGAACCCTTTTCTGTCTAGAACAATGCAACTCAAATGTGTATAAGTGCACTAACACTGGACTGTGAAATACTTTTTTAATCTTTATTTTGTTTCTTTAGTATTTTATGGGTGCTGGGGGTCAAACCCAGTGCCTCACACATGCTAGGCAAGCAATAAAGACACATATAGAGAAAGTGAGAGTGAGCAAGGACACCTCTACCACAGCTTGTCCCAGACTGACACCAGTCAAGCAAAAAATGCATATTTACATCAAGCCCTTGGGTCTGCTGGGAACAGTTTGATCATCAGAAGCTGGTATAGCAGTCTGAACACCTCAGCTCAACATCTCCACTGAGGGCCTATAAAGTCCTGTCACCACACACATCCTGTCACTCTCTCCTTATCCACTGATGCAACTCTTATCCTTCTGATTACAGCATCACAAGTTTTTGGTGTTCTCTTTACTTACTCTTTTTCATATCCCAGTGAAGTTCATTAGGAAGTGCTGTAAAGTTTATCTTTAAATGTGTACAGCAACCAAACACTTCCACTATATCCCCTGCTCATACTTATGGTGAAGTGACTGACATCTCCGGCATAGAGTGACTAGTTTCCTACAGTTTTCCTGATGCCTTCCTAATTGTCCTGTCTCAATTCATTTTCAGCTCAGCAGTCAGAGTGATGCTTTGAAAAGATACACGAAAGTCTATCTCTATTCAAAACTGCCTCACTCAATGCAAGATTCCTTCTGTCAATCTCCAGATCTTCTGAGACTCGCAGTGCCTCTGAGCTTCTCTGGGTGACTCTACTGAGGACATCCCAGATCCTGACTCTCCCTAGTCCTCCCCCACAGGATCCTACCCTGGTGCATTTGTAGTGTGGCTTCCTGTTGCCTAGAAAGACCTTCCTCCAAACATCCTCATGACAAATTCCTTCATGTGCTTTGAATCTTTCCTCCAAAGTCAATTTGCTCATAAGTCCCATGCTGAATACCCTAATATAACAGCCATCTTCCCTGTCCCCACACACCCACTCTGATACCTGCCCTACAACAATTACCACCTAACATGAACCTGTCCTCATTTACTATATTTAGAGTGTATCTTCTTCTTTCCTATAGAATACAGGCTCTACAAGGGTGGTACTTTGGGCTTGTTTTCAGTCCCTGATGTATATGAGATGCAAACTATGTGTCATATATTCAGTAGTCAAAAGTCAGAGCTGAATGAATGATCAGTGTCATCCCCTCCCTCTTCTAGAGACACTGTCTTTAGTAATGGTGCATCAGACCAAATACTGCTGTGGCATCTGCAGCACAAGGGCTTCTCACATGAGATCAAATCCATTTGTGCTTTTCTTAAAAGTGCTACCCTCCCTCCCTCCACATCAGCCCTCTTGCTCTCCACAGCAGCTAAGGACATTTTGATCTTCAGAACAAGATGATCCTTGACCAATGGGTCATGTTTTCCAACTAAACAGAAACCTCTATTAGACTCTGTTTTATCCATGCAGGAATCTGTAATGGAGCAAGTGCTAGGATTAGTAGAGCTCAGGGAACACACAGAGCTGAGTGGAGAAGATGGGAACTTAAGAGGAATTTATCTAAGATGAGAAATCATGAGCTCCTCCTCTCTGCTATTCCCATTCTCTGGTTCCTTTAAAAATATTGGAGGATTGATGGAAAATACAATCCAGTATCCACTCTGGGTTTTGTGGGACAATGACAAGAAAAAATGACTCTTGCTGCCATCAAAAATGAGCGATACCCAGAGGAAATGAGACCAGACCCTACTTATTAATAAGAACAGGGATAATTCTCTATCAAAACTGAGAAACAAAAAAGGATAAGAGCAGAAGGTCAGACTCAGGTCTCAGTCTATGTTAACCCAGTGACATGATGCCCTCCCTTCCCATGGTCCTGGAGACAGACCAGCCGTGGTGATGCTTGAGTCCCTGCCATCACTGGTGCTGGTGGGTTGAGGTTCAACTGAAGGGACAACAACTGAGGATAATGGAAGACAATCCAAGTGAGATGTGACCACATCAAAGCCCAGGATGGGTTGGATACAGACTGGGTGTCACCTTGTCTACCATCAGCTCCTTTCATCCTTCTCCTGTCCCCACCTGAGGCAAATTCAGCATAGCACATATGTGGATTATGGAAGGTTTCARGTTTTCTCTCTGAAGTTTTAGGAATCTTCCTTTCATTTATTTACCCATCAACCACATTTCATGGCATAAATGTGAAATACGAATCAATATCCTGATTCAGTTTTTTGATGTGGAAGGAAGAAGCTACAGCTCAGGGGAATATAGAGCTAAGTCAAGAGTGGAGATGTCCCTGCCCCTCCTCTGCTACACAGGACAGTTGATTGATGAAGAGAACAGGACAGTGTGGGGTGGGGTCTCTGGGTTCAGGGGCTCTTCTCTCCAGTTCCCCACATTATGATGATAAGAACACAGACATACGGTTAGATACCAGTTGGTCAAAGAGAAGTCAGGACCACTTAAAAAACCTTTATCACTCAATCGCACAGAATGCAGCTGTCTCATACTGTTAAAGAAAGTATTATGAACAAAAATTCAGATGCCTCCTTGTAATGGAGACACTCTGAACAACCCAATAAACACTCAAAATGTCAAAAACCCAGAGAGTGCCTGTAGCTCAGGAGTCTTTCCATTCCCCAATCCCTCTTCCTCTATGTCTCTTCAGGATCTCACCTTTTTAAGCAGTGAGAGACACATCAGAGTCCTGGGCACTGTCATTACCTGAGCAGAACAAATACAGAAATGGGTCAGAGCCCACAGGAGATGAGTTTACTGGAGGAATTATGGGATGGATCAGCTCCAGCATTGCTCCCCTCTATACTAACCCAAAGGTCTCAGGGATCACGATACTTCATACTTACAGGCAACTGGAGCATAGGGCCTGTTTTTTGATCCTGTGGGAAGAAAGCATCCTGTGAAGGAATAGGTTAGAGACAGATCTTAGAGGTGTGCCCTAGTCCTGGACACTGGGGAAGTCTCCAGAACTGTGACTGCAGATGTAGGGAAGGATCAGGAGACAAGAAGAAAGTAGCTGGGTGAAGATGGAGTCAGTTGCTCTTCTGGAGGTCTGTCTTCAGCAGTGAAATTCTCCTCTGACCTCTAAATGCTGGAAATCAAGTCCCCTTGACAACAAGCATCAGAAGTATTTACAAAAAGTAAATACTTTACAAAGAGTAAATGTCCCTGGCTGGGTAAACACACTTCTACCAGATGCTTGACACCACCCATGGGATTAAAATTCAGACCCTGCACTTAACCTTACCTGTGCTTTGCTTTTTCCACAAGAAAAAAGAGACCACAGCTCCAGTGACAACAGCTCCAAGGAGGACTAGGCCAGTAACAATTCCCATGATGGGGATGTTGGGCTGAGGGGGTGGCTCTGTGAGGAGAGGGGAAGTTAGGCGAGGGGTCCTGATCCCCAGGTCTCAGGAACTACACTGCTGAGGGTTTCCAGAAAGCTTCCTACTTTTCTGAAAAGAGGCTCTGTGCCCTCATCCCCTTCCACCCCATCTCAGGGTGAGGGGCTCAGGTAGCCCTTCATGATGCACATGGCATGTGTATCTCTGCTCCTCTCTAGCAGGCACAGTTGTCCATTTCTGGAAGTTTCCATCCCCTGCAGGTCTGGTCTCCACAAGTTCCATGTCCTGGGTCTGGTCCTCCCCATTTCGCTGCCAAGTCAGGGTGATTTCCTTAGGGTAGAAGCTGAGAGGCCCAGCACCTCAGAGTGACATTGGCTTCAGAGCTAGGATGGGGAGTCACCTTTGTCTTTGGGGGGTCTGAAAGGAAGAATAGGGAAATTCAGACATTTTTGCATTACCTCCTCTGGGCCACCATCCGAATAATGCATAACACAATTAGGATGGGAAAGGGAGCATAAAGCCTGCAGACAAGCCTGGACTGAAGCTTCTGGCATAATTTTCTGTTCCTTGAAAAGTTCTAGAACCCTGCTGAAACAACTCAATGTAAGAAGCTTCGTGTGTCTGAGAGGGACTTCAGGTTCTGGTCTTGGTAGAGGATGAGACGTGGAAAAGCTGGAGTCAGACCTCTAAACACACTAGGTTGAAGTGGACCTGACAGTCTGTCCTTGAGTCCAAGACTGCTGCCAGAGAACTGTGGGCAGTTATTTATTGTCTTTCCCAACAGCCAGTGGTAGACCGGATCCCTTACTTGTCCTCAGTGAAAGCGGCCTTCAGTTTCTCTCTAGTTCAGCTCCTGGGAATCCAGGCTGACTCTCTCCCCTCTGAAGAGAAGCAGGGCGGTTTTCTACAGTGGGTGCCATTCTCCCACCTCCAGTAGAGGGATCTACAGGAGATCAAGTAGGTGTTCAGCAGCTGCTCACACCTAAGTGCTGCAGTGTCTCCATCGTATTCTCCAGGTATTTGGTGAGCCACTCACACAGGTGCCCTCCAGATAGGTCCTGAGGTGGTCCCTGAAACCAGCCACCCCCCACTTGCGCTGAGTGATCTGAGCCACCAAGTCTGTAGCGGTCCAGGAGCGCAGGTCCTTGTCCAGAGCGATGTAATCCTCGCCTTCATCCGCGAGCTGCTCATACAGGCGGAGCAGGCACCCATTTGTCCCCACCTCAAAACCATAAATCAGCTGGAGTGTGTGAGAACCTGTCCCCGCCCAGTGGTCAGCCACGTCCCAGTCCCGCCCACCCCGCGGTGAGAAGGAAACCTGGTTACAGTACTCACGGGTGCTTTCTAGGTGGAGGGTCACCGTCCCAGTCCCGCCCACCCCGCGGTGAGAAGGAAACCTGGTTACAGTACTCACGGGTGCTTTCTAGGTGGAGGGTCACCGCGGATCCCTCAGCCTTGGGGTGAAGCCGGCCGGGGAACCTCTGCAGGACTAGGGACCTTCCATGAGGTACATGAGCAGTTGCGACCTCCTACAGGCCCGTCTTCACTCTGGTTGTAGTAGCCACTCAGGGTGTTGAAGTCCACTTGGTCACTCTGAGAAGTCTGAATACTCCGGCCCTTCCTGTTCTATCCACCATGGAGCCCGAAGCTCCATCCCTGGTGTCGCAAGGTAGCTGTCAAAGTGTAGGAAGTATGAGTCCTCCTTGTAGCCCACGGAAATGAAGCGGTACTACTCGCTGCATGGGGGATCCTGGAGGTGGAGAGGGACTGAGACCCTAGTGACCCTCCTCCTGTTTCCTGACCCAGTTCCCAGCTTGAGACACCAGGAGGAGAGGAATGGGCTCTAGAGACGCTCGGGGGCTGTGGGACGTGGGAGGGCTGGACTTAGTGATGGGAATGGAGGGTCAGGATAGTCCTCGCCAAGCTGGGGACGGTCTAGGCCTGGGCCAGGGCCAATGTCATACTAAATGGGAAAAACTGAAAATATTTATTTAAAATCATGACTAAGACATCAATATTCATTCTCTTCACTCTTACCCAATACAGAACTTGAAACTCTAGCCAAAGCCATGAGACAAAAGATGGAAATTAAAGAGATGAAATAAGAAAGAGTCAATTTTTTCTCTATTTGCTGATGACATTATTCTATACTTAGTAGACCCCAAGGGGGGAAAAACACCACACTTTTAGAGCTGATAACTTTAATAAAAGAGCAAGACAGAAGACCAACATACAAAATTTAATATCTTACTTATTCACAAATAATAATTCTTCTGATAAAGAAATTAGAAAAACAATTCCATTCACAATAGCCCCCCAAAATAAAAACCCAGGAATCCATTAAATCAAGGAGGTGAGAGATGTGAAAATTATAAAACTGAAGAAAGAAATTGGAGAAGGTAGAACTGATATTGTCAAAATGAACATAATCCCAAAGCAATCTACAGATTCAATGTAATCATCAAAATTCCAATGTAATGCTCAAAGAAATAGGAAAAATAGTCACTGACTCCAAAGAAAAGGTACTTTCTAGGTCTGTATCTTTATTTATTCCCCAAATTCACCTGGAATGACCCTGACTGGTTCAGTCATGTGACACAACATCCCATCAAAGCTGCCTTTGTATAAAATCTATTTTCCTACTGTTATGGTTTAAATTTGACATGTCCCCTAAAATGTCCTGTGTGAGACAATGCAAGAACATTCATAGGTGAAATGATACTATTAAGAGAGTTGTAACCTAGGAAGAGGGTTGATTCACTGAGAGGGATTAGTTGGGTGGTAATAGTACTCAAGTAGGCTGGGTAGAGGAGAGAGGTCACTGGAGTGTGTGCCTTTGGGGTGTATATTTTGCCTCCTGTAAGTGGAGCTCTCTCTCCTCTTCCTGATTGCCATGTCCTGAGCTGCTTTTCTCCTCCACACTCTTCTGCCCTGACGTTCTGTCTCATTCAGGTCCAGAGCAGGGGAGTTGGCCATCTATGGACTGAGATCTCTGAAACCCAATACCACAAATAAACTTTTCCTCCTTGATGTTGTCCTTGTCACTTCTTTTGGTCACAGTTGACTCAAAGATCATTAAAACACCTTCCAATTTAGAACCAGACTAAATTTGTGGGCCACTCCCTCATTGAATCAGGAATACATTTCTTCTGCTGAGAGAAGGAAGCTGAAGGCCAGAACATTTACCCTGGGAGTCTGCACAAAAGATGGGAGCAGAAATGCCCACTCAGGCCTGTCTAACTGCAGGATCTGCATAGGTACATTTCCACCTGTGTCACTTCCCTGCCTCTTTTGTACAAATTCTACAAATTTCAGGAAGTTTGGAGATGGAACCTTTGAAACAATTAAGTTTCTTTCATCTTTCTTCAAAGCTAGCTTTGAATAAAACCCATTTTCTTACCATTTTGTTTTCAAAATGTTCTGGAGCAGAGAGCATTATGGCCTGGCTTCCTTCCTCCCAGGCAGTATTACAGCTGCCCAACATCAACTTGACTCCGAATATTTCTGGAACAAGAAACATATGGCCTAAACTTTTCCTTCCTGGGCAGAATGTTGTGTGACCTGGTAACAATCTGGCTTGTGTGTGTGTGTGTGTGTGTGTGTGTGTGTGTTAATGGAGAGAGAGAAAAGGAGAAAGAGAAGGAGAAAGAGAAGGAAGTTTTCTCTTACTACAATTATGGGGCACCAGGTTTATTTGCTTTTAGCTCCATCATTGTTTATTTTGTTGCTGTTTTCTTCCTTCCTCATGTTATTCACTAATAGGGTCACAGACTCTTCTGAATACTCTGTCCCATGTCTAGCAAACAATGAGGCTTTCCAGCATGGAGATGGGAACAGACACTTAGTTTCTGGCCCTGTATATTTCTACCTACCATTGTTCCCTTTGGTGCTTTTGGACTTCTTTTCCTCCACAATAGATGGTGTTCCTACATGTGTGTACTGATGAACTGAGAACACAAGAGGTGCCCTCTAGACCCCCAGTTCTGTAATGTTCAGTTACCTTCTCTGTTCATCTTGCATATTGTGCTGTTGTGACCTCTCCAGATACATGTGTCTGTCCCCGCAACTCCCTGGGTCTTCTGAGCTGTGAAGGGCTCCTCCTTCCTGCACTGTGTCCTGGGAACTCTTTGCAGGAAGATGGACAACTGTAGGCCTTGCCTCTATTATTCCTTTTCTATCAGAGGTTACAACCTGTTAGACTTGTCCAATGTCTGAGTATTTATTTTTTTATGAATTACTACTGTTTCTGACTCCATTATTATCTCAAAGCAAAGTCAATGAGATGAATTTTTAAAACAACCATTACGATTTTACTTTCTAATAACTAAATGTGGTGTCTTTAAAAAACAGCTGGGTCACAAT